CGGGGTACCTTTTATAAAAAAGACTTAGTACCTGATAATTATCGGAAAACAAAGAATTAGTACCTGATCCAAAGCGACGGAAACAACAGAACCAACCCATCCATGCTTGGCTTTCACCACGTCGCACACCAGGCTACACGTGAGGAAGGCGATGCCATCTGCCGCCCTATACAATCTGATTAACACCGGCAACAGTGCCAGCAACTCCACCTGAGCCGCCTGGGCAAGTTGCTGCTTCAGCTGGCTAGTGCACTTGACCCTCCAGTGCACTGATAGTGTCCCTTAGCTATTGCTCCACCTGACCTCTTAGATTCTTAATGCCGTCGTCTTTCTCATGATTTTTCTTCTTGCGCTTCAGAGCAAGTCAATGGGCAGATTATGTGTAAAATGAAAAGTATAGGCAGATCATGTAAGCATTAGTCAATGTGCATCAAATTGAAAGCATGGAGTAGTAAAGTTGAGCCCAATTGTGAAGTCGCAGATTGGCTATTACAGATAGGTAAAGAAAGCACACGCACGCGCGTGCACACACACACACACACACACACACACACACACACACACACACGCATGAATGAAGCAATTGTCAAATAGCATATACTAAATTGGAAAAATGATTTAGATGAAGGGAATACAAAGTAAGATTTAGGTAATAATATCAAATCTCAATACAACACACTTTCATAATTTTTTCCTGACATATTTAAATTAAGTTGGTAGAAACTGCATGTCAAAATGAAATGAATACAATAAAGCTTGGCACAATTTGTGATAAAGAACTAAATTAACCGTAAAAGTCATTTCTTCTCCTCCTTCTCTTCTCTTTCCTTATTGTTCTCCAGTCACACATGTGCCCGTTTCTCCTTCTCTTATCCTTCCCATGTTTCTTTTGCGGGTCACCGGGGAGCAGACACCACCAGGGTCTGCCACGCCATGGGGAGGGGTCACCACCGTTGAGAGCAGCCCCCACACAAGTGTCACCAAGCAGGAGAGGACGAGTCCATGGGCACACAATGCAACGGACAGGTGCCGGCCATGCCTTGTTGAGGCCTCCGCTGTGAGGAGAGGACGCCGTCGTGGGCAAAGTGACAGGGAAGCATGTCACCGGCGCTAGGAGAGGCATCCATGTGGGCAACGTGACGGGGAAGCCCCAGGCATGGCCGCCGGCAGAGTTGCACTACGCAAAGCCGCCGCCAAAGGTACCACCTATTTTTTTTTAAATTGTTAGCAATGGTGAGCGTGAAAAATGTGATCGCCACTAGTATAACAATTATCAGTGGCAGGCCTACACGCGCCCACTGGTAGCTGATTCTGCATTGTTGGATGCACCTTCAATAGTAGCAATCACGATTGTTTTAGAACGGACAAAATGTCAGCAATAAAACTCTAGTGGAGTTCCCCCGAATCACTACCAGGAACATTTATATTTTGAGCTCTTTTACGGTGATTGGCGAGTTACGACTCGTAATTTTGTGTAACTCCACCTCTGGTTTTTTCTAACCGTCGGATCTAAGAAATGATTTAAAGAGTTTTTTTGTGTGAAAAGGATAGAGTTGTAAATTAGCAGGTCAATCTAGTCGCTAGTCAATCCCTGGTACAGCCTTCGTCGTTGTTAGGCTCCTCAATCCCCTCGCACAGGCGCCGCCGCCAACCCTGCCCTCGATCGTGGCGCCGCCGGCGTCCCTCCTGTCGCTCGTGCCGCCGCCGTCGCCGACCCTCGCACAGCCGCAGCCGCCTGCTCTCCTCTGCTGCCCCAGCGCCCCGAGCATCGCCCCGTTGAATAGGCGCTCCCCACGGCAGCGCCTCCTCCCTGGATCAGCCACTGACGGCCATCAACGCCCGCGACCCAATCCATAGGAAGGTAACCCGGGGCTTAATCTTCCGCCGCCGCCGAGGACGGCCCTGTTTTTTCATGTACATCCTCTGACCCCGTTATCTATAACCGTCGATTCTCGCCCAAGACGAGTATCCCTCCCAGCCCCCTGCGCCGCCGTCTGCCTTTGACGATTCCACACGCGTGTAGGCGACAATGGAACAAATTCAGACATTCAAAGATATTCATCCGTCAGAATATTCAGGTTCTGTACTTCTGTATTTCATGTCATTCTTTCTTTGTTCTCTCTTTTGCATTGCATGTGCACAGTAAACCACATAGTCATCCATCACTGAATGTCTGAATTTGTTCCATTCAGACATTCAAAGTCACATTCCGCACGCGTGTAGGTGTAGGTGATAGTGGAACCGGCCTGATCACTTTGCAGTTTCTGAATTTGTTTGCTATGCTCTGAAATCACTTATATAAAAATCAACAAGTTTCTGAATTAATGATCTAAAAATCATCTAGTTTCTGAAAATCAACAAGTCAATAATGTTGATCGATGGTCCAAACACCTCCAAGTGTCCAAGTAGATATCACACCCATTGCGGTTTTGGTAAGATTAGATTCAGTTTACGGTAGTTATAAAGCAGATGTCACACCCATTGCAGATGTATTTGTCACGTCTAGTAGATTGAGTGGTTTTGTTATTTGTGATAAGATTTCTTCTGTGATTTACTATTACCGTGAACCGATGTATTCGTAGCCAGTGAGTTGTAATTGCAGATGTCATGCCTAGGTGTTGTGTTCTCACATTTCTGGAGGTTGCATTGCATATATTTGGAGTATTAATTTCAATAGTTAAAATATGCACATATTTGGAGTGAGATTGCCATATGTAGTTCAGAACTAACCTAGCATGCTTAATTTACACAGCATCTAAATCATGAGCTTAAGAAGCTGCTGTTTTGGAGTTGTGTGCCGCAATATGAGTAGTACATTTGTGAACCTGCTATGTAATGTTCAGATTCCAGCAAGGAAATTTGTGTGCCGCTATCCTGAACCTCCTCTGCTTTCTCTGAAACAGGTTTGCCATGTGAAGAAAAAGGATATGTGGGAGCTTTTGGATGGACAAAGGCTCCAGCAATGAAGAGAAGAGAGCTGCATTCCCTACTTGCAATTCTAGTAACTATCTTTGTTATAACTTGTAGAGTGTACCCGCAAAAAAAACTTGTAGAGTGTGATGGATTAATTGGGATGCTATGTAATCAGAGTACGTACCCTATCATATGTATCATGACTGATTGCGACCAAGGTCTGCATTCTGTGAAGAAGACTCCCATTTATATGTTTATTAGTGATACTTTGTTGCGCTTGCTCTACTACTTCTGTACATTATTTGTGGAATTGGTCTTATGTAGCACTATTTCAACTGGAGTTGGTCGAGTCCTGCTCATTTTTCAAATGTTGTGTCTTATCCTAAGCTTGTTGATAGGTGATCATTTCAGTACTGGCTTGTCATGTACTGACCCTGAACTCTGAAACTGATTCAACCAATGTGCTATCTTGATTGGTTATACCCAGGTACATGTACAGATATATGATGGAAAATATGCATTTTGACAAATTGCACCAAATTTTTAAGCAAATACTCTTTGCCTGTCTCGTGAAATGTGCCTGTGCAAATTTGCATCAATCCAAAATGTAGTGACATTCTTAGTACAACTGGTCATTTAATTGACGTTATGAACATAAAACTGGTTTGGACTAGTGCAGCATATGCAATACAGAAATAGTAAAAGCCATAATTAAGTGTGCGGGCATTAAGGGAACCTTTCATCTAAAAAATGAGCAACAACTCAAATTTGATAGCCTATTATTGTAAACATAGTCTCACAATTGTCTCTTCAATGAAGTGATTGTTGGTTCGAAAATAATGTAAACACTACTTGGGACAATAATTCAGCTCTAAAGCTTGAAATTGTAGAAAAACCAAAAGCCTACTGAAGAGGCTCGTCACTGCTGCCGAATTGTTATCTGCAAGTTTCTTCCTTTTGGGCGATGACCCATATTCTCCCAAGTCCCTCTCGCCGATATCCATGTACCCACATGCATATATGTCTTCTTTGGACATGCATATATGTCTTCTTCGGACATGTCCTGCCCAGAAGCATACGAAAGGTATTTAGATCATCATGCAAATGATGTGTCGCATGGTAATGCACTTGTAGCAACACGTGCAAAGAGGGTAACAAATTCACATAAAGCAGCCATTCTTCCAAATTGAGCCAATTCTGGTTTTCGAAGAAATACTATACATAATTACTGTCCATTCTATACAGCGCCATACACTGCCTAAATAGACAGATTCCTAGCTAATTTGAAGGGAAAATGGCCATAGTCCAGTGGCATAATCAGAAGAATGTAACTCTTTTTCACAGCACAAAGGTTCTGAACCCATCAACTTGCAAGTTATATTCCAATGAAATTTACCATGTCCTGTATTATCTACTGACTCTAATCACTACCTACTGACTCCAATCACTGTAATCAAAAGCAGGGGGAAATAACTATTGCTCCCAGATATGCAATCCAAGATTTTCCTTTCATCATCAGTCCTGCGGATGATTTCTGCCTCCTCCACATATCCTGTTGTTTCCTGGATGTCAGGAACTTGCCGCTCCTTGCAGTGAATTTCTGGCTGAACACCATAACTATCACAGTCCATCTTTTGTAGGCGCTTTTGCATCGATCTCATCTTACGTGGCATCTTAATCTTCTTCATCGTGGCTGCCCACTGCAAGAGGTACAATGCGGTGTATCAGTACCATGGAAGGCTTGAAAGGGGCGGAGATGGCATCACAAACTAGTTTCAATCAGGTGGTTGAGAAAAACAATGTAGAAACTGATATTACACTTGGGATACCAGACTAGTTCTACTTCACTTTCCCCTCAATCAAATCATGGTATTTGTGGACATAGCTTACTATTGGTCAAACAAAAGAAGGCAGGGACATTTTCGAATCTAAAGGTGGTCTTGCATCAACAAGCAGAAGTAGCTTTTACTTAACATCGACTCAAAGATCAACTCCAACAGTGAGGTTCAGATCTACCTCACTACATAAAAAAGTTTTAGACGTAGTTCATTATCTAAAAATATTCATCTATTATTAAACAACATCATTCAGATCAAGATTGATAGTGACCAAATCGACAGAATCTTGCATAGCAGGTTGAAGTCGGTTTCATCTTCAAAATCTTCAAGCATGTCGGAGATGTCGTTCGCGGCATCCTTAAGCCGATTCAGCCACAGAAGCATGGACTTATGCTTGATAGACTCCCTCTCAACGTCGCCGAGCACAACCTCCACCGACTCTGGCATCATCTTCATGTTCTCCAGATCGTTCCTCAGTTTCCTGTGCAGCTTGATCTTGCCTGAAATGGTAGAATTGATCTCGCCACCTTGATGACTGCCGAGGCGAGCATGCCCCCGAGTGCCACCTCGACTGTCGACATGGCTTGTGCCTGTCGAGTTGGGCTGTCTGCGAATAGTGGATTCGTCATTGAAGCTCCGGCCCTTATCAATGTAACAAAGCATTGGAAGCAAAAAAAAAAAAAACGAATCAGCAACTGCAGAATCAATCATGACCTGTTTTATAGAATACAAATATCACACACTTGCAAATAATCAAGTCAATTAATAATATTTATAAAAGCTTAGACAAAAGGGAGTTGCCCACCTGCTCCATCAAGCATAATACTTTCATGAATATATTTGAAAGGGGTTCTCTTCTCTATTACAATATGTCATTTGATGCACTGTTAAGTGTTCGAAAGCAACTTGAAGAATTTGAATTTCCTTGCAAAGCTATAAATGATGGTCTTTGGCTTCAGGTTAGTCTATCCCTGTAAAATGGGCTTTTTCCCCTATAAATGCTTTTTTCCCTGTAAGACCATCTCGGAAACTTTGCTGATTTGTTAATGCAGATGCTCCTGTGCCACAGAGTGCAAGCAATAGTTCCTGATACTTGCAGAAACTGTTGCCTTACAAGTAATTCTTGTGACTACAGGCAGGAGCATGATAGGACAAGTGCTTCAGGAACTGAAGGTAGTATCTGCCTTGCAGATGCCCAAGGCGATGGGAATGGTATGTTTAGTCCTGTGCGTGTTAACGTAAGAGGAGCAGCTGATGGACTTGCTGGCATTGGGAGAGGAAACTCAAATGTGACTGGTGCTGCTTGGGCTCCTACGCGTCATAACGAAGCAACATTCAGAATTTAGTTACATGGCCACTGTGGAAAGCTGATGTGCTTCGTCAGATATTTTTACAGTTTCCAACTAGTAACCAGAACTGAAGAGCAATGGAAGCCTTGCCTTTGCAAGGAAGAAGGTAGAGTAAGAGATATGGACCTGTAGACGGTGCTGCGCCGGGCTCTCCACAAATCCGGACTGGATTATGCAGACGTTGGGGACGACCTCCTCCGGGCGCGGCTGCTCCCTCTCCTCGGCGGCATGGGCGGACTACATGCCGACGTCAGCGAGGGGACATGGTTGCGCGGGCCCGTGGAGATATCTTCCCCGTGCCTGGAGCTCGTCCGGCGACGCCGCTGAATATGCCACCACCACGACCATCCGGATCCTCCTGCGCTGGACGCCGATCTGGTCGAGGACTCATCTATGAGGAGAGGAGCGAGGAGGAGAAGGCGCAGGAGAAGCGGCTGAGCCGGCGGCACAGCGACCCGGGAGAGGAGGAGGCGAGCGGAGAGGGGATCGACAGATTGGGGACGAAGCGTGCAGGGATAGATTTTCTTTTCCTTTTCTCCCAGCGCTGCACACTAAATTGGACGGATTTACCCTTTTAGAAAATGATTAGCCCCACTATAATCTTGTAATGGTCCCACAATTATTTATAATTTCATGTAATTTTAGTCTAGTAACTCCTGGTAACTCCTATTTCTCCACCGTTTGATCATAGTGAACGGACGGTCCCTAAAATCGCCAATCATTGTAATAGTTGTATTATATTTTATTATAATATCTATAGCTCATTATAAAATTTTAAATTTTGAATTTGACATACGAATCACCAATCTTAAACGGTTGTTTTCCCTCAAACATAGGTCAAGAAGGCCTAATTGTTCTTCCCAGTACACTAACACAAATATTTACGATTATTTGCATTTTGGAAACTTCGAATGGAACTAAAAATATGAATCATCAATCTTAAAAGTTGTTTTGTCCAAACAATTGGTCAAAACGCTAATAAAACCCCCCAATTCATCGCTAGGAAAATTTAAGGGTTTTACTAGATTTTATGACTTTTGGACATTTTGGATTTTAAACTGAAGAAATGATAAACCAATCCTGAAAAGTCGTTTTCTCCTATCCACTAGGCAAAAGGATCTAAGACTTTCCCCAATGGGAACAGTTATGATATTTTTTAGAAACTTTGAATTTTATGTTGAAAACATGTATGAGTAACTCAAATAATTGTTTCTCTCAAAACTTTTCTATTTCATTACTGACATTTGTGATTTGCAAGATTTTTATATTTTTCTAAAAACATGGAACTTTGAGCTATTTTCTTTGAATAAGCGACCTAACAACATTTTTCTGCATGCAGATTATTCATGTGAAAAGTTTCCAAGCTGTTGTGCCCACCTATAGAAAGCCACAAGTACCAGCCCAGTATGTTAATGTGTTTCGAAGACTGTGAAGTTGGTATAAATACTCCATTTGAATTAGTTATGTAAGTAAAAAAAATCTTTAAAATCTGTAGTTTTGCCAAAAAGCAGAACTTTTTTTTGGAAATTTAATTTAAATGTGTGCAGAAAATCATGAATAATAAATACATAGGAATGAATTGAGAATATAGTGACGTGCAGCGCAACACATCACACTTAATTAAAATTAGTGTGTGCTCCCCGATATTTAGCTCAAGTTTGAACTGCATATATACCGGGGCAGCACACAAATTTTACATTCAATCCAAACAGGCCTAAATATGTCAATCCGCAGCTAGAAGATAAATAAATAGGTACATCAGTACTCTAGTAGTAATTTGGTGAAATGGTGTAGACACCCGAATGAATTAGTCAACATTCAAACAACAACAGATAAATAAATAGGTCCATCAGCCTGCATATCACCGTGGAGACACCAGGAGCCATGGCGTGGCGTCCAGGAAGAGCTCTTCGTCACTCGTCAGCGCGCCCTGGGTCGCCGGGACTCCCGCACGGCCGCCGCCTTGGCCTTGGTCTCGGCGAGCTCGGCCTTCACCTTGCGCAGCTCCGCCCGCAGCTCGTCGGCGTCCCTCAGCCTCTCCTCGAGCTCCAGAGCGTAGCCCAGCGAGAACGCCACCTCGTTCGCTGTCTACAGGACAAGGTCCAGACCGGCATCGGCATGCATGTGTGTCAGTCCAGACTCCAGATCAACAAACAAATCATGCTGGAATCGAATGCTCAGCAAGCGCATGGATGATTCGTAAGTAAATTCACCTCACCTGGAGCAGCGACACGTAGCTCGAGGCGACGACGTCGGCCGGCCTGGACGCCGCGTGCTCGCGCTGCCGCTCCGGCGTGACGATGCCCTGCAGCAGCTGCCTCGCCGCCTTCCAGCCGCTCGTGTCCCCGTCGTCGCAGCCGTGGTGTTGCTTCCCGTGTTTGGCCGTGGTGGTGGTCCGTGCCTTCCGGAGATGCGGGGAGAAGCCCGGCGGGAAAGAGAGATATCCCGACGCTGAGCTCTCGCCGTTTGCATGGTGCTCCGGCCGCTTCCGCTTCTTCTCTTTTCGGGACCACGACGGCGCACTGGGCGACGGCGCATCGCAGTCCGGCTCGCTCTTCACCGTGGACTCCTCCGCTGGCGCGTGCGCCGCTCTTTTCAGAAGTTCACCTTGAGGAGTAGGCGTCGCCGTCGGCGGTGAGAGTGCCCCGATGATCTTGGCCGCGGCCAAGTTGCTGTCGCGGAGATACGCCGTGAGATCGATCGGGGAACCACCGCGAGCGCGCAGCACGCTCGCCGCCACGGCCTTCTCCGGGCCGGTGAGCGACGGATCAGACGTGGCGGACCTGAATGGCCTCCCCCACTGAACGGGGCACGGCCACGGCGCCGACGACGACGACATGAAGAAGAACTCCTCCTTCCACCCCGCGTTCTTGGCCTTCGTCGGACGGAAGAGCAAACCGGCGCCGGCGGCGTCTTTGCCGCGGAGAGAGTAGAGCCTGTGCGGGAACGCGACCAGCGAGAAGAAGTGCCGGAACACGGGCAGCGACGGCGGCGTGCCGGCGAAGTGGGAGAGCACGACGAAGCCCGCCAGGGCGCGCCAGCCGTTAGGGGCGAGCTGGGCCGGCGCGATCCCGAAGTGGTCGAGCACCACGCCGAAGAAAGGGTGGAGGGGCAGGCGCATCCCGGCCTCCAGCGCGTCGACGAACATGCAGACGGACCCTGGCGGCGGCGGCGCGCGCGCCGACCGGTCGCCGGCGAGGAGCGGGGTGAAGCCGTTGGGGATGGAGTACTTCCTGCAGATGGCTCTCAGGGCTTCGACACTGCGCACCCGCGAGGCGTCCCGCCAGGGCGAGACGTCGTCGTCCTCCTCGTCGCCTCCGTCGTGGGCGCGCTCTGTTGGGGGAGCTCGGACGCGGGTGGGCTTGGCATGCTCCGGTGACCAGGATGAGGAGGTCGGGGGGGAGAATGCCATGGGAGCTAGCTGAGGTTGTACCTAACGATCGAGACGGCAACAAAGTTGTGTATGCGGAAATGGAGATATGTTTCCCAATGGAGTAATTATATATATATATTTCATTTTACATACTAAACTAATTTTAACATGAGATTGGTGCTATATGTACGGAATTGATTTTATATCATATTAAATTTTGCCACACAAACTCACCAACTTAGAGCATAAAAAATGTTGGTTAAGTTGAATGAGCATGCCCACCGACGAGATACTCTACCTCGTGTCCATGGACGACATCACTGTGCTCTGCCACCATGGTTACAGGTGCTGACGACGTCCAGCTTTCGACCGCTCCTTTCTTTGTCATTGTTGGCTTGAGGGTGTTGGCCATCCCCATTAGTTCCTTTTCAACTTTTAGAGTCGATCAAAGCATGGCTATGTGGACAACAACAGAACATCGATCTACAGTCATCGGCTTTCGTTGTCCGTTTTCGCTTCCACTTCCTCACCTGCTTCGTCCCAGATGTGCTAGGAGCGTCAGAGCCTACTCTACGTGTCAATGCCTGACATGCTCTACATGCTCATGTGCAAAGTTTACTATGTCCGTGGTTGTGCGATTTTAACTATTAACGACTATTTATTGCTCTTTTAGATGGAAACATCCATGACACACATCGTCTTTGGATTACTCAACCTTTTTCAAGGTGCTAACCTTCACTGTTAGTGGCTACTTACAAGAGCGAACTACAAATGGCTGTGTGATCACCATGATACAAAAACAAGGTTAAATCTCCTTTTCAGAGGAAACAAAAGACAGCGACGACAACAACCGGGAGTACAACCTCTGCTCGATCTTGTACACTGAAACAAGCCTAGCTAGATTGCAACTACAAAGTGTTTTTTTCTTTTAATGTGGCCACTCCGCGTAGTGATGGATTCTCATCTCTTCTATGAAATGACAAAGTTGTCACATGTCCTGACGCACAAGCTCATCCAGTACTTCTCAAAAGATAAGGACTTGCAGAAACAACTTGCTAAATCTGGACTTGTCGACGCTATGCTTGTGCGATC